AATTGTCAAAACTAAGCAGCACATTGAAAAAGTGGGACAATATCTGTAGTGTCCCCCACCTGTAGTCCCCTATTTCTGCCAAGAAGAGAGAGAGAGAGAGATGCCTTATCATATCTCTTCTGTGATCTTATGGAATTGTACAGGTCTTGCCCCATCTTTATTTTATCATCCTGTGTGATTCTTCTCTCTGACCTTCCATAATGTCTCCATAGAAAAATCTGTCTGTCCATGGTGCTGGAGGCTTTTTTCTGGAATCTTTAACATCCCACTCAGAGCCTCAGTGTACCACTCAGACTGTCAGCAAAGAATTAGAGAAGCTTTTCCTCATCAGAGGTTTTATATTTAGGTTTTGGGGAACTTTATTTCCTCCCTTTGGGAACACACTTTTGGTTTCATAATGGAAGGCTGTGGATCTCACTTTACAGAAAATAATTTTAGCTGGCTTTGTTGGAGCTGGTCCATGCTGTGAAACCAGGGATCCTTATGGATTAGGTTATGCTTGCTTGTGTGCTGCTGTATATATCCCTAAATCCTCATCCTGTGTTTGTACTGCCTCCTCCTTCAGAAAAGGGGCTCCCCAATGGCCAGGGCAATATATCCCATCTTTCTCCTGTACCAGTCTGTCAGTGCTTTGCTCATAGGGGACCAGAATCAGAGGGTTCTGAGTTGTCACTCCCCAGGTCATGGAAGGATGGACTCCCAACTCTGACTACTGGCTTTCCCTGCATGCAAGGGAAGTGAATCATCTTGGTGGGGGCCCTTCCTGCTCCAAGTGCCTATGATTAGCTATTGAAAGAAGGGAGATGTGACTCTGACTCATCCTGAGGGAGAGAAAGAAGACACCTCCTTCATAGTGCAGCTTGGTTTATCTTGGGAAGAAGTGACGTTGGAGGCATTTTGGGAACATTTTCCTCATCCAAGTCTCCACCCTCTCTCATCTGTCTTGCAATTCCACTCTCTAATGCTATTCTGATGGGGAGGGAAAGGAAATGAACCTGGAATTAAAAACAGTCTGGATCCAGGGAACCCAGAGAGATCATCTCATTTGCATCTTCATAACCCCTTTATTTCTAATGTCCCTTCTCTCTATTAGATAGGTAATAGTCCAGCTTTTGTGGCAATTACAGAAAGCTTTCTTTTTCCTACTCTTGGTGAGCCAGGCAGCCTCTCCATCCCTGCTCTGCCCTCCTGCCCAACTGAGCCATCTGTCCTTAGGAGGGGGAAGTCTTTCCATAGGAGAGGGAAGCCATAGGGCAGTCAAGGTGAAGGGCATCTCAGGGATCTACTCCAGCTCATCCCTGGCTGAGATCCCAGGAGCAGCCTGGGCTGCTCAAAGAACACTAGGATAGAGAAGGAGACATCTGAGCCATAGCTTGGGGGTGGAAGGAGTAAAGCCTGGCAGAAATCCAGCTCACTGCAGTAAGAAGTGAATGTGAAGTGAATGTAAGGAGCTCTTGAGTACATCTGTTGTCCAGGGCCCTGGAAACTGCTGGACTCATCAGGAAAGACAGAGTCAGGGACAGCATTGTGGTGTATATATGTGTGCATGTATATGTGTGTGTGGGGTGTGGGGTGTGGGGTGTGGGTGGGGGAGGATGAGGACTTGCTTCCAAGATCAGATCACAACAACATGCACATGCACCTGCATGGGTGCTTTTGGGTCATGTCTTGATTTTTCAGTCAGAGTATCACTTCAAGGTTTTCAGAGACATTTAGAGAATGTATCTTGGGGCTAATGTTGAAAAGATGGATGAATGATAACTAGAATTAAAGAATGTTAGAGATTGAAGAGATAGACCTTAGAGATCATATAGTCCAACCTCCTCAATTTGTAGAAGAAACAAAGGTCCAGAGAAGTAACTTGTCAATGTTACCTAGCAAGTTATTTTATACACGCACACGTATATATAATACATATTCCTCCTCCTCTTCCTCCTCCTCTTCCTTCTTCTTCTCTCCCTTTCTCTCTCCCTGCCTTCCTCTCCCTCCTTCCCTCCCTCTTCCTCTTTCCCTCCTTCAGTTCCTGTCCTTTCTTCCCTTTTTCTCTCTCTCCCCCTCTTCTTTTCTCTCTCTCTCCTTCCCTTATTCCCTCCCCTTCTCTCTCTCCCTCCTCTCTCTTTACCTCCTCCTGCCCCTTCCACCTTCTCTCTCTTTGTATTTCTCTCCGTTTCCCTCTCTCTCCCTCTTTTTCCCTTCACCCTCTCTCTCTCCTACCCTCACTTTCTTTTTGTCCCTCTCCCTCTCCCCTTCTCTCTCTCACTCCCTTACTCCTTCTTTCTCCTTCCATCTCTCCCTCCTTCCCTTTCACTCTCCTTTTCTCTCTCATTTTTCTTCTTTCTCCCTCCTTCCCTTTCACTCCTTTTCCCTCTCATTTTCC